ATTAACTTATTTGGTAAGTGAAAAAAAAAAGAAAACAGAAATATCTACCTTCTAAATTGTATCTGTCTTTGAAAGTGATGGTTATGAACAGTGGCTGTAAAACAGCCTCTTAATGAACAATTTGTTCATTCATTATTTCAAGACAACGAAATAACAAAAGACCCCACCCCCCCCCTTTTTCCACAAAAAACAAAACAGCACCCCCCTCTCAAAAAAAAAAAAACATGGGGGACTCATATTTATCGCAATTTAATCACAGAAGAACATAAATGTCTTATGTGAAGGGTATTTGAAGTGAAATCAGTAGTTATTTGAGTTACAGACATTTTTTTTATAATGTTCTTAATATGGACAAATTTACATAAGTATTACCATATTTACATGATTAATTACCAATGAAAATAAGAAAATGATGATACTAGTGAGACCTCAAATTTTAAAAGGGAGAAAAAAATCCTCAATATGTTTATAAAACACTTTCTAGCAACACCTGCTGTGTTTGTTGTTACCGTATCAATATAAGAAGTCAACTAATAAATGCCCCAGTTCTTTCAAAAAACATAATTGTTGATAGCCATACCGATTTCTAGTACAAGTGTGCAGTGGTTGGTCTTATTTTTTTTCTTTCCAATAGGAGCAAATTCTGAAGTCTGTTGACCGCAAATCCAGATCAGGCAACTTTTCTGTTAGATGACCCACAATTTTCTTAACTTTAGATTTTGAGCTGCATTTACACCCACTGCTCCTCTTCTGCCATTCCATGTCGTACTGTATTGACATTGGTACATTGTTCCCAACATTTGATCCAATGAAATATAAATATTTTTTTCAATTGTCAAAAAGAACTGAGTTATAGACGCAAACGCAAATCAGTTCAAATTGATATACAATCAATGACTTATTCATATATCATTATCTTTAAATAGTTACACGGGGATTGTACATATACCGAAGATACATTCAAACATATTAGTCTTAAATATGCTGACAACGCCATGAAACAATTATACAAAACACAAAAATGAAAACAAAAGACAAAGAAACACAACCCCACCAAACTGCGGGTATGATTTCAGGTACTCCAGATGGGTTAATAGATCCTGCACGACATGTGAAACTCCAAGTGGTACTCCAATAAGTTATGCTGATAAGTTATATCAAGCGATAATACATCACGCATTAGCGGATGTGAAATTTTGAAATTGAACTGTTTTTCATGACAAAAGAACAACAGGACTGTTAACGGTTTAAACAACACATACATTGAAAAAATAATAAGCAAAGAACAGCACTGAAAACTAAAGCATGGTCAACATGAAACCTTTTTAAACAAAACTATGCGTTATATCAGGTGCTATAGAAAGGTAAATAGATCCTACCTCATATGTGGCACCCGCTGTGTTGCTCATGTATGTACAAATTTTATTCGGTTTGTCATACTCGATAAAATAAGAACTGAGTTGTGGAAACAACAATTGGAACATATCCGTCGCAATCTGTGAAACAGGTATTCCAAAACGGTCAACCAACTTGTGAAATCGTTTGTAAAATTTTCGTATGGATGACCCAAATATCACCACATGTAACTCTTAGTTGAAAGTTTCCTTGTAAACATAAACCCTATAGGTATCAGACCACCAATTCAATATCCCCATCTATTTAAACAAATTTTGCAATTTTCATAGCTTTCTTAACATTTTACCTTAAGTTTAACTTCATAGAAACCAGGTATAACCTGAATTGTACATGTATCACCTTTCTACATGCCAGTTTTCAATCCATGTTTAAAGTCTTGTAAGAAATAAATGGCTTTCAGCAGACAAGGAATACTAAGAATAACCCCCGATTTTTTGGAAATCTTCAATTAGTATACTATGGAGCGCATTAATCCTCAATTTTGAATGCAAACTCATAAACAGGTAAATTTTGACTCAAAATAGTCTAAAAATATTTATCTTTCACCAAAAGTTTCACTTCTGCAAATTTGATGGTTAGTTTAAGTGAAGAATGACGCCAAAAGCACTATTTTGTGTCAGACTAGGGCTACTTTTACTAAATTGGAGGGAGTGAATTGGTGGTCTGACACCTATAACAAGGCAAATATATTAGGAAATACTTGCTCTGGAATATCGTATCAACTTGGATATAGATACTTCATATACCTCTGCTGCTGGAATGTTGCTATATAGATATGAAAAGTTCACCATTTGGACGCTGAAATCATCTCCTTTGTTTGTAACGATTTTTTCTTACCTGACCCTCATTGTCCAGATAAAAGTCAAGATGAGACAGACTTAACTCTGCCTGTTTTTATCATTTATTTCAATTTTAAAGAGATAGATACGTTCACCAGAGTCATAGCAATTTGTAAAATTTAGTGAGAGGACATCATCTATCAAAGGAACGTTGTATTCAAATATCATATAATGGTCCTGATATGGATGCAATGAGTTAACAAAAAATTAATCAATCAAATATCAAAACAATAGCGGTATTTTTGATATATATATACATATACATATATATAAAGGATTTCCCTTTAATAGATCACTTAAAACTTCTGCTAAATAAGATAATTATTTCTTCAGATTGAAAGACAAATGATAAGAAATGCTTATCCTTTATTTAGTAGAAATGTGGTTTGTCGTTTTACGTTCACGGTAAAATCAATATGAAAAGCATCAAGAGCTGGTCTGTTGAAACTAGTAATCTTGTAATTTACATACATTGATTTTTGAGGATTGACATTGATATCATCATTAATCATTGATTGATTGTTTCTAGTGTACGTCGAGTGACGAATATATCATGCATAACCAGGATGATTTTAAACAATTTATCAAGTTAGGTTTTGCAATTTAGGTCGAGTTTGATTGTCTGGATTGAAATGTGGACCGCAATGGATTTTAGGTAATTAATTATTCACAAATCAACAAAACTACATGTACTTGCCGCATGTTTTGTAATTTTAGACTGAAAAAGAAGAAAAGCTGAAGTTATTGATTTTTTAAAATTAAAGTCTAATGTAGATCAATTTACAATAGTCCGACATTGTATCTTATTATATTACTTAAACGCATAAAAAAATTAAAGGCCAAATCAAGTATGAAGTTGAAGAGCAATGAGGGCTCATAATTCCACAAGATTTTTACAGATACAACTAAGGTAATATATTCCAGGGGTAGAAAATCATAAGGATTCATAATATTATTTTTTTGATAGGTCAACAAGATCTGGAGGAAGACAGACCTAAAGATGTGAAATGTAGGTTCAATGAACATTAGAAGGAATTGTTTTTATGACACTTTCTGATGGAATGAGTTGGAAATTGTATTACTTGATATAATTTTTATCGTGTAAAGTGTTTTATGTTTCCACTATAAAGGCTGACATTTTTTACTTGGAGTTTTGGCAATTGCTGTTATCGGCAGGTTGTAGGTATTTTTGAAGGCACTAATTGCGCCCCTATATCAAGATTTGATATTTATAGAACTATGAAACAAAGTTAAATGAAAAGGCAAGTAATGCGTCCGTTTCCCTTATGATTGTTTTGCATTAATTAAGCAACAATAGATATACGACAGAAACTCAACTTAGAAGATTGTATTTTGATATACATGTATCTTAAATACAGAGCAATAATTATACTTTTTGAATTATACATTTTCATTTTTCGAGTAAAACTATGTATTAGATCATACGATGAAAGTGATTCTTTTTACAATTATATAAAATGAAGAGATGTGGGGTATAATTGCCAATGAGACAAGTATCCATCAGAGTTAAGATAAGTGGAAATAAGCAGTAATAAGTCACCACACGGCCTTCAGCATTGAAAAAACCCCTATTCTGTTTAGTCGGCTATAAAAGGCTCTTACATAAATGGGAAACCATTTTTCTTTTGTCCTGGGATGAACCTTATAAAGGTATTATTAATCGTTTGTTTTCAAACAACAATGTGTTTTTATTTACAACATAATGAAGCATGTACAAACATATAAAAATGACGGGAAAACAGTCGAAATACATGTAGCTAAAACTGAAACAAACAGTCGAAAATTTAAACCTCTTCTTCCATGCATGTTTTGTCATTTCAGTTTGAGACAAAGAATTGTACCTTAAGTTGTTTAATTTGGATTACTGCCTGAAAGCTAAGCGCAGTCAGAAAAATTATCTGTAAATTATTAACATTCGCAATACTCCTAATATATTTTTTCTCCTATTTTACAGGTCAACTAGATCTAGAAGAGGACAGACATAAAGGTACACATGGTTCAAATTTAAGTATACAATTTTGGAAATCTATTTTCGATAACCCTTTGATTTAATATATACGTGTAGACCTACATGATTGTATTTAATAATAATCATTATAACAATTTTATGATAATAATAATAGTAGCAAAAATAATAATAAAAAGGTTCATGCAACAGTTAAGGGATAAATGAGAAAAAATAACCTAGCACACACGGGATGAAATTAAAATGAATTTATACAAATCAACCAACAAACATATTTTGAACTGTAATTAACTATAAGATACCATTACAAGTAAAACTGTCCATGAAAGTGGACAATGAAATTAACTGACAACATCAATGTTAAAGCAAGAATGGTTCAAATGGAATAATGCGGGAATTATTAAATGTGACTATATACATTACAAATTATATACAAAAAGACTGGTTTCTTTCTTTTGGACGATTACGTTTCTTTTGTACCTTCTTTTGGCTTTTGTATAGTTCCCCAATTCGTTCAATATACACATGTCTGTATTGACCACCTGGTTTTTAATAAACAATCCCTGACTTAATGTAAAAATGTACCTGTTTTAAACAAAGCTTTTAATTTAATTTTTCCTTATTGAGGAAACATTAAACGATAAAATTAATTACAGTTCATTAAGATAATTGCTTTTCATAAATACTTTGATGACCTGTCGTATTTATAATTTATTCATGATAGAATATTATTTTGTTTTTGGTTTTTAACGTTGCAGATATCTTTCGCTTTGACATTTTGATACTTCACGCAAATAAAGATCAGAGAGAAGCCAATGAGTGTAAAAGATTCCTAATGCATAATTTTCCTGATATCTGTAATCTTCAAGTTGCACTACCAGAAGATTTGTTAGCACCTGGAACTCAACTTCTGCCTGGACTAAGCACTCTCTTAGACTCATGTAGACTAGTTTTCATCTATGTAACTGAAAATCTCGAATCAGATCCAGTTGCAGGTTATGGGAAACAAGTAAATTTCATTCAGTCGTTGAAAGATCCACTGAAAGAAGACAGAATAATCCCATTACAATTGAATGAAGAAAACATATCAGTAGATTTATGTACAGTTCAACCTTTAGAATATGTTAAAGACACAACTGATCGTCAGTTTCCCGATTTCAAATTGCAGTTTGAAAATTTAGTTAAATTTTGGAAGACTAAATTGCCATGAGATCTAGGGAGCTGAAAATGTATAAATAAAAAAAAAAAAAAAAATAACGAGCAAAAATGGAAATAAAATAAAACAATCTATAAATTGCGTTCTTATTTCTATTAGACAATTGGAAAATACAACGGAAGCCTTAACATGATTGGACACAAAACACCCCCAAAATGTATTTAAAAGACAAACAAAAGTTATAAATTATAATTTGTTAAAATTTGAGCAACATTTGTGTTTCAACCTGATTTTTGTATATGTTGTTGTTGGCTTTGAAATGGCTTCTAGTAACTGCGAGTACGCTCAGATCAGTACGTTGTACGTGTCAGAATTTTGTTTGTTAGTTGTTATTGGTACTTTCTATTCATACAGTTTGGTCATGTCGGGACTTCTTACAGCTTGCTATGCGGTATGGGTTTGGCTCTTTGTTGAAGGGCGTACGTTAACCTGTAGTTGCTAACATCGATCTACGTAATTTGATCTCAGATAAATAGTTGCCTAAATGGAAAATATACAACATCCCCTTCGTTTGTTTCAAATCGCTTAAAGAAAACGGTGGATACAATTAGATGCTTTGAAAAGGTAATTAGAACTCACACCGCTAGTAGCTTCAATCGTGAGATTGGTGTTACCTTTTGCAAAATACCATATTGAATAACCTTCTACCTTCAAAAGGGGTCGAAATTAAAAAAAGGTCAGCTTTGTGTGAGGGAATCAGAATTTGAGTGTCTAATGGTATTTCTTAACGGATTTTTATTTAGAAAAATCTATGTTATAAATCATATCAGTTCCGAAACACTTACTGCTTGGCGGACGATACTCTGGAGACTAACAGTTCACAAGCAGTTGTATCGACTCCGAGATAGAACCTGAAAATAACACTCTATAATTCGCTTCTATAGATTTTCTAGATCAGGAACGATCAAATAAATAAAAAAATATGAAAGGTATGGCTGTCTGAATACTTGTTGAGCTGTATAACTAAAATAATAGCTAAAACCCATATAAGGCAACTTCGCCTGAGAGAATTTGTAATTTACTTAATCGAACATTATAAATTCATTGACAGGAACTTTTGGTAATTGATGATAAACATGTAAATCATGTCAGTGCCAACGCGCTGACTATTAGGCTGATGATATCCCCGGTAACTTACACGCACCATTAGCGGTATCAACCTAGAGTTAGAAAATGAAAATATTTACTAAATAAGAAGCGCATTTCTACCTTCTTAAAGAGCACTCGAATACAAACATTAGAAAGCCACGGATTTATACATTCTTGATGAGCTATATAATTAAACGGGACATAAAAATACCCAAAACCAGCTACTGTCAACTATGCGTGAGGGAGTTGGAATTTACGTTTCGAATAATTTCTTTTTTTTATTAAGATATTTTTGAGAAACTTTAAGGTATAATATTGATCAAGTCAGTGCCGATGTAATAATACTGGGCTTACAATACCCCCGTAGGTCAAAATCCACCGGCAACGGTATCGACCAAGTGCTCTGGAATGAAAAATAAAACAATTCATAGTTTTGCTGCATCCAGACGTTTTTCTTGATTTACCTTCACCATGAAAATAAAAATCAAAGGAATGAGATGTATGTAAGGAGATATGCAATAAACTAATTTATGTTTCTGTTTCTTCAAGTATATTAGTATTGAATCAAAAAGAGTAAAGACCACTATAGCCTGTAATTGATCGTGGTTTTTTCAAACGATCGATGCAAAAGTAAACCTTACACATATTTTTGAATAGAAGAAATATTTTTATGTCCTGTAGTTTCTATTCTTTTGTCTTTTCTGATAATGTCTTTTGAGATTCATACCTTTCTATTATATCCTTTCTATTTACCAACATCTGCATCTGTTTTGTCTTGTGGTTTTCTTAATGATTTTTACCTTTTAGTATTGCCCTTTTCACACATTTGTTCTGCATTTTCTATTCCGTGATGATGCCTTATAACACATTTTCTTGGGAAATCTTATGCTGTAAAATGTCAGGTACATGATACTAATAAACAACGCATTTTTATTAACAAAACTTTTAGATTTTAATTGATACGCGTCATTTGATTCTTAACAACCGTTTTTATTGCGACATCAACATGATCAATACTTTACTTATTGTCAATCTATAGATCTTTTGTTCAACGAATTTGATATATGTCAATCTAGGAGTTTGGAACCTTCCGCTTATTAATTATAGATAAAAATCAATAAAATCAATACAATTCTTATTTAACTAGAGTTCAAAATGGAAATGAAATTGTTGATGCTATTTTTTTTTTGTACCTCTGCTGGTGAACTCCTAGTCCTTGAGGGTATCATCAGCTCAGTAGTCCTTGCTTCGGTAATGACATGATTAATGACACACTTGTGTTAAATTAACTATTGATATATCTCGAAATTATCAAAAACATATTTTTGCAACTCCTTTAGGCAAATTTGACCTTAGATGGATTTGGCTATTATTTTGAAGTCCTTGTTGGTCTTAAATTTCCTAACGAATTCAAATTTTTATACATCTTTGGCTTTCATGTTTTTTTTTTTGTTTGATCGTTCCTGATGAGGGTTATGAATGAAGATAAATCTGAAAAGGGCATTTCGTGTGCACCAATTGTAACGGTTGAACGTTATGGAATATCTGTTTCACAGATGACGACGGATGTGTTTCAATAGTCGTAACCACAATCGGATCCTTTTTTTCCTTGAATGTAAATTTAGACTTATCACTGAGTTTGTAATTGAGCAACACGACAGAAGCAACATGTGGAGCCGGAACTTATTTTCCTTCCGAGGGAGCACCTGAGATCGCCCCCGGTGTTTATTAGGGTTAATGTTGTTCAGTCGTTATTTTATATGTTTTGTGTACTGTTGTTTGTCTATTGTTGGTTTTTCGGTTTTTTACCATGGCGTTGTCAGTTTGTTTTCGACTTTTGCGTTTGATGATTACTATGATATTTTTTGCCCCTCTTGTGTGTAATTATCATCATTACAAGATATGCACTATTTAAATTAGCATAAATACATTAAGAATTGCAAACTAATCAGACGTTGCTATCTATTGATAAACATCACTGTTCATTCATGATCATGATAAGTATACTTAAAACATATGTCGTATTCTCAAAAATCAGAATCTTACAAATTAATGTACTTGTATATTAATACAATCGAGATGCATGATGTCGCTGGTTATGAAGTGTCAGTCAGCTCGGGTACACGTACCATCTGTTCAATAATCCGACAATGATAGAACATGAAATGGCAAGGTCCATGTAAAAGATACATATTGTTTATCAAGCTTGAATTGAAAATTAATTAAGTATACTCAAACGATATTTGTAACATCCTTGGTTGAGTTATTCTTTTATTTTTTCGAAGTCAACCATTTTTAGTTTGGAATTCCTAAACGCTTGGAATAACATGCTTTCAGAACGTTAACACTGTAGCGTACCAAATTTAAATTATTCAGTTTTAAACCTTTGCACAATGTCTTATATAATTTTAAAATTGTCAATTTAATTATATGTACATATTTTACCCTTCCGTAGCACCTGTGATCAATATCGTGTTGCTAAGTCTTTAGGTTTTCTGTGTTGTGTTTTGTATACTGAGTGTTTGTCTTTTTGCCATTTTTCGTATTTTACCATTGCGTTGTCATTTTTTTTTTCGACTTATGAGTTTTAACGTCCCTTTGGTAATTTTCGCCTCTCTAAAACTCCTTACAAATAAAAGAAAAAAAAAATGAAATGACCGTTTATTCAATGCTTTTGTTTCCAGTTTGTTTATACCAATGTAAAAACAAATTCCCATTCACCAGTTTCAGGTGAAAAACAATCATATTTTTTAACATTATTATTAGCACTAGTATAATTTTGTATAGTATTACTTTGTGGATATACCGTAACTGTCTGACGTAATCCAATTGAAAAAAAATGTGAACATTAAGGCTTTTAGTTTGAATGTTATAATACAGTTATTTGTTATTATATTGAATACTTGTTGACTTCTATTATGTTATCTTTGTGGATTATATCAAAACTTTTAACAGTGTGTGCAGTATTAGTTTTTAATGATGCATTCAAACAAAGGATTTTTAAAAAGGTAACTTTAACTAACTTACAGTTGTTACTTTAAGGTTGCAATTCTGTAAATATAGACAATGCAATTTCCCATAGGAACTCCCTTTGCGGCTAAAACTGTGCCACTTTTACTGTGAAGTTTCGTGAAAAATTATATCCCAGAACGGAACGTTGATATGCACTACTATTCTATTCAAAGGTCAAAATATAGGGCTGTGCGGTATATTTTCAACATTTATATGCCCTGAACTTCTAAGAGTTTAAAACTTATACTAAAATTCGCTACCATACTGGTAACATTCCCAAGTTATGCCTCTATGAGATGAAACATAGAGGTCATATCTTGGAACCAGTACGTTAACAAATTAACATATCTATGAATATTATATATCTCCCCAAAAGAGGCGTGGCTTGTGAAACAGCTGTTTTTATAAAGTGCAATCTATGCAAACATTTATTCAAATAGAAAACTCTTGAAAAAAATTTTTTCTCACAACAATACTTATTTATCAGAATTATTGCCTTGAAGAAATCACTGCATATACTCTAACTATTTTCTACATTTAATACCCCCACCCCTGTTTCAATTTTTTAAAGAATTTAAAAACAAGACTTTAATTATTGTCAACTTACCCTATGTGCATGTTTTCTGACATGACATGTCTAGAAACTGTTTGAAACTATTCTTAAAACAAATTAAAAGCATTTCAGAATACTATAAATGTAAAGTTTAGTTGTTAATCATTCCAACATTCAAGATTATATAACGTATCAATCCTGCCTTAGTCTCCAGTCCACATCTTACTGTATGCCTATTTGTCAATTAAAGTTAACAATTTCTACCTCAAATGGTCAGTGTAGAAATGTTGTCTCAACAATATCATTTGTAACCATATATCTAACATAGTTAAGCTAATATATGAACTAGAAGTGTTTAAACAAAGCCATATTTTCAAAAGTTATATGTATGAAGTTACCAGTCTAATGTATGACTTCACTAAAAGTTTTATAAAACTGACTGCTAACATCTGTTTTTGCATAATTTCAAAGCACAGTTATTGTTTTCCATACAAAAGACTTTAAAATAATAAAATCATAGCATATACAGATTAAATTATCTGTTTTGTGACCCAGGGGGTAGGCATTTTTCTGGGTTTTTTG